TCTCAGTTTAAGACCAAAGAAGGAATGAATCAAAAATAAAATACTTCTTAGAATTTTATGTGGAACGATATTTTCAATATTGCATCTTTAAGACTAGACGAATAAAACATAGAAATTTTAGGATTATTCAAGAAAATTAAATATCATTTTAAAGGATTAAGGAAGTACTCATTCATTTACATAGATCTGCCTATTTATCTAAAGTAATCTATTTATTCCAAGGATATGATTATTTGTGAATGAAGAAGGCAATGAATAAAACTAGAATGTCGACAAATCTTCAAGCTTCTTATAATCTCTACTAGGAGGAAGTTACGTCACTAATAAATTAAATATTGCGTAACTTTTATAGAAGCTTATTAGGATTTTAAAGAAGATCAAAAATAAGCTTTCAATATGGCTTCTATCTAGTGAAAGAATTTAGTATGTTGGCCAGTTGATTGGTTAAATTCAGATTTAAACTTAACCTGCCGATTCTTCTTATAATTGTCCAAAGAATATAAGGATTTGTAAAAAAAGTCGAAAGCAACAAAAGTATTTTTTTCTACAAATTAGTGGTTCACCTGCAATAAATTTTAGGAATTTAAGAGAGCAATTCATAGCTAACCATTCGCTCGATGAACACAGATTATTAATCCGATGAAATAAAACGGATTATATGTGATAAACTTTCGCAAACTCGATAATTGTATTTCTTACGAAGTGGAAGGAAGAACCTCACTTGCAAGGAAATGGGGAATTTTTAGTAAATATGCTTTAATGCTAAAGAATATTGTTCCGTCTTTACAAGCAGATTCATACAGAAAAAGGACTTATTCATAGTAGATGTTGAGATTAGAGGTCAAAATAATAAAAATGCCATCATTTTAAAAGTATTGAGCTTAATTAATGATAAAAACTAGTAGTTGAATATAATATGCGATAGCCACGGGTGATTTGTTGATTTTCAGGAGTTTTATCCTTTCTACTAAAGTGATTTACTCTTAATCTTCCAATTAGACATATACGTATGGATTTAACCATTTCAGTATACACATCTTTAAAATGATTTATTAAAAAATATTTTGAGAGCTAGGGCCTGATTCAGAGAGTGGTCAAGTTACCGAAGCAGATGGTAGATCCGGCGTTGACAGATCACTTGTGCTCGCTTCCTGTTAAGAACAGTCATTATTCTACTGAAATTACCATCCACCTCTGACTGGCGTTGGCGGATGCTGTGACTATACTCTGAAGCAGGAGTAGTCTGTAACTCGTCGTCAGCTTCATGTTGGCCAGGCATCTGCCTTAGATCAGATTGCTCAATATTTTCTTGATCTATGAGCATGAGTTGGGCTGCATGATCCTGAACGAGAAGCAACAAAGCCAAATCAAGAAACAGTAAATTTATCAAGAGGTGCTAGATATTTAAGAGTATTAATATTAGCCTTAATACCTATTGCATTGGACAATAAATTGGACTGTATGTAAATGCTTAAAAAGTAATAAGTAGACTGTGAAATTCACTAATCTTAGAATAACCGAAGCTATAGTTATTGTCAATAAAACTTTTATACACGAAATACTTGCAGCGTGTTGGAGAGATAATACATTTAATCAATCTAAAACTTTAGAAAAAATCGTATATGTGAAGGTTTGGGAGCAATTTATCCAAAAGCTCAACTAGGGAGTTAAGTTTTTAGTGAATAACAAAATTAGCTCAATATACTTAATTAATTATTCTTCATAAATTAAGGTTTATGTTCAAAGTTCTCAATTAATCAAACAGTAGTTTCTATCTTGTTTTAGATTCTTTACAACTATGTATGAAAGAAGTCCAAGATGTATAGGAAGAGTATTCAATATCCCATAAGTCTTTGTCACAGGGAAGATGTGAATTTCAAGGAAGGCCAGGCCTTATTGGAAAAATACGTTTGCTGCATCGACAATCCCACCAAATAATGTAATATGCGATAAGACATAGCCTTCCTTGAAATTCACATCTGCCCTGTGACCAAAGGGCACTCGCGGCAATGTGGCTGAGTGGTTAACGTATCATGCTCACATGCTGCACTGTCACGGTTCGACTCCCGCTGGGGTGTTGATAGGACCTATTCCAGATCAAAACTTCACTCCATCTTGGATGAGAACAACTGTTGGGAAAGTAAAGCTATGTGAAATTCACTGGAAACGTCAGCTCTACTGATATCATTGTAAAAGAATTCTACTACCAGTCTTTGATTGCTTAAACGAAATAGGGTGAAAACATCTCATATTACTGATTTACTGATAGTCTCGAAACTTTGCTTATATATTTAAACTAATATACCAAAATTACGCTATTATAGTGAGGGCAACTGGACAAAAATTTTCAATAAAATGAGTTCATAAAATTATGCTTCAGTCGTAGTCATATCCAAGAGAATAATTTCAAGGCTCATTGTCTTTAGCCTTGGCACCCATCAAAACTGCAATCTTTCATC